CATATTCAATAGAATCGTATAAAAATAAATTAAATGAATACCTGCCTAACCACCTATGTATAATATATTCATATTTTAAAGGTAATATAATTATTAATTTACTAACGTCAGGTACCTACTCAGATAAATACCTTGATTTCAAATAAATTGATTTTTAAAAACAAAAATTTAAGTCAAAACCATAATTTTCAATTTATTCAAATTAGATATTTATTAATTGTTATATCATATTTGTTTTCTATTTCCATAGTCATACACATATACGTGTATACACAATACCTATATCATAGAATATGTATAATATAACAATAGGTCGCTATAATTTTCGATTGTCATACAGATATAATATGTAGGCACCTAATACCTATACATATTATATATTCAGAACTAGGCATAATTTCAAAATTGAAGTAAATCTATTTTTAAAACCAAAATCAAGATTTTAGGTTTTCAAATCATTTTTCCCGAATTATTGTCAGCGACGCTGTGTCCAGTTCCCTTCATGATTACCATACATACTCTGCCTAGCTAAAGAACTCGCCGATTCTGGGCATTCCCCTGCGTCACCCTGCTATCGAAACATGTTCCTCTGAGGCAAGTTGTCGCGTAGGGATGCTCAGAAGGCCAGAAAACCCGATTTCATGTGCCCGCTGTCCCGCTGGACAAAGTACAGGTCGTAGGTGGTAGGTATCCCGTGCTTACTTACTTGTGTTGTTAGTTTGTCATATATTTATTCTTGGTTTTTATGTGTAATTTCGTACAATTTTGAATTTAAAATAACTCTTTTGAAAAAACCTGTGTTTATATACAGTTTTTAGATTTTGTCGGTTACAAAATGGACTACTTATATGTGACTTTGTTTTAAATGTTCAATCCTTAGCTTTAAAAATTGAACATTTTTACATAGCTAAACATTTTTTTTATATTAATTTTCAAACTAATAATCACATAATTTAAGCATTGGTAATATGTTGAGAGAGGTGTGGGGAGCAACCCCCCCCACGGATATGTGAGCGATTCATAATTGTAGTACTCCCAATATTTGAACTATATATATATATATATAGTTGCGCCACTAGAGTGTTTATATTGTTCATACTATTAGGTATATAAACTTTATTCTTCCATCACAGTGTCAAATTTTGTTTTCGTATTCAATTTAATAAAACTGGTACAGACCTAGTGCAACACTCGTGGAAAATAGAATTACTGGGTGTACCCATAAATCTTCAAATCAAAAACGGTACCTAGCTATATGAACCACGGCTATTGTAAGGTTCGTCTACCATCGGCAGCCCGTACATAAGATATTCGTTCCCACCGCCCAAGCTTTTTTTGTGTACCTATTAACTCATTTATTATTAGTTATTACTTGTAAGGTACTATTAATATTATTATACTGCAAAACGTAATACAAAAGCTGTTTGTATGCCATTGCAGTATATTGTATTTAATCTTATTTTAGATTCTTATATCTAAGATTTAAAAATTTAATACATGATTCCCTACAAGTTTGCCTATCTTTATCAAAAAAGAAAAAGCCTCGATGTTCTTAATTACATTTTATGAGCGTTTGAAGTTGAAATTTTTACAACACGGATATTCACTTGATTTTTCTTGTAGCGATTTTTTTATTTTGTTGTAATTCAAAAACGAATTTCTGTAGACACTTGAAATTTACACCAAATGTTTATTTCATCAATTCATATACTTGATACAATTTTCAAAATATTTTGACTCGTTTTAAGCTGTTAATGGACATTTTCAATTTTCATTTTTTTTTCATTTGTATTTCTATAAATGTCAATAAAATTGTATTTGTTGTGTAAAAAAACATGAAAATTTAATACAAGCCTCTTGATAACTTATTACAATAGCAGGTGAAAAATATTAAAAATACATTAGCACGATTTGTTTTGATAAGCATTTAAAGTTCAAGTTTTGACAATATTTATGAAAATGGAAAATTGAAAATGATTTTGTAGTTAAAAATGTATATAATTTTCAATTTTTAAAGCTAAGGATTAAAAACTTAAAACAAGGTTCCACTTAGCAGTTTTTTCCGTAACTAAAAAATCTAAAAAATATATAAATACAGTTTTTTTTACAGACATTTAAAGCTCAAATTTGGATAAAATTGCATATTAATAACACAAAAGAACAACGTGTATCAAAAAACAGCCCAATATAGGTATATTTAATATTTTTTCAGAATCACTGAAAAAGAGAGCAACATTTTCCGAGTAACATAATAGTTTTCATAATATTACATTATTAGATATATAACATTCTGCACATATCAGGCAACTGTGCAGAATATCAACGAACAAAATTTCCTATTCCTATTATGAAATTCTGATAAAATGAGTTTTAAAATTTTACAGCTGTGACAAAATGCTTTTAAGTATTCTAGTATTTTAATATATTTAAATTCAATATAATTCATAACTACTTATACTTAAATATTTTGTATGTTCTGTGTATTGTTGATTTTTACGATTTTTCAATTTTTAATTGAATTATGAGCATTTTCAAATATTTATTCTTAACATACACATAACTCACTTTAAAATTAAAATATCGTAAAAAACCAATGAGAGAACACAGATAATGTTCATACCTGAAAGTTTGAAAATAGATCAATATTCACTCTAATATCATAACATTCATAACTGACAACACACTATTGAAACTAGTGAACAAAAATTTGTCATGTCGTAATTACAATTAAGACAGAGACAACACATTCGAGTGTGACACCGAGACGTCCTCTTAACAATGTTTTAAAAAATGCTCAAAATTTCACAAATGCATCAAAGTCTAAAAGAAACATTTTAAACACTATTACGGTTATATGGTTCGCAAAATCAACTCTGAAGGATATAAAAAATGATGAGACGCTTAGCAAAGTTATGTGTGCAATGCAATAAGTGCCAATTTAATAACAATATTTAATAGTTCATTTTTGCCTTTGAACGTCGAATGCACGCCATAGGTTACATATAACAGTATGTATTCAATTGACCAGTTTTAGCTCACTCAACATAACATTCGACAATACACAATTAAGACGTTGATTTCTCTCGCATATTTCTACCTGTATAATTCTATAACGGTAGATTTACATAAAACGACAATTAATCTAAAACTCAAAAAAAAATTTTCATGTACCTATAGGTAGCTAGAAATTACCTACGTACCTAAGTAATAAATTATTATAATTTAATTCCACTGACCTTGTGTGTGTTTATTTGTCTTAGCACCCATGTGCATTATTAGTCACTTTAACTTAAACCTTGTTCTATAGGTACCTACTACCTAGCCTGATAATTATTTTTTACTACTTACAGTTAAAAATTGATTGCTGATCAGGTAAAAAATATTATAAACGCGTAAAATGTATGATAATATCCAATATTTAGTCATGCTATGAAGATAGTAGGTAGGTACCTAAATACGTGTAGTGCCTAATTCATGATTTAAATGTACCTACACCTTGTGGCTTGTACATTGTACATAGAACCACGGAGGCACAGAAAAACATAACGTCTCCTTATCATAGACCTTTAAGGTCTATGCTCCTTATAGTATTTAAAGATTTACTTGGATAAACTCTGTGTAGAGTCCGGTCATCTATTGGTTATTTAGGTAGATACCTCGATGATGAGTCCGGTATCCGGTTCGCTACCATTTGCCCGCACATACTATTATACCACAGTTGCGTCTGAGTGGTTTTTAAAATTAATAGCAAAATCTGTTGTTTTTTTTCCAGTCGAATCGTGAATAGATAATTAACGTTTGACGTTTAAAGTTTAAAGTTCGAATTCATTCAACTTTTCGGCCTTACCTAGTGCATGCCGCGATATGCGATTTATGTACCTATCGATTTATATTGTATATTATGACATAAATATGATTATACCGATGTGCAGTGTGAGACTGTGAACAGTGAAGGCCAGATCCTGGCTCCAAAACAACAGTATGTAATTATATGTCGTATACCAATATCATTGATTGTATTATATATTTTGATTGTACTTCTAATTAGATTATAAGTAAGTAGTAAGTACCTAAATCCTAATCAATGGGTTGCCAAAAAAGGTTTATATTGTTTTTCGTTGACACCGGTCCATACCTATCTGAATATTAGGTACCTAGTTGGTATATTAACAGTAAACACAAAAAATTGTGTAGCTATTTGGGCTGCAAAGTACAGATTGAAAATTATAATAGAAAAATTAAAATACTAACCTATTAGAAAGACGCAGATCAGTCTTCGAAGTTGATTAAAATCCTAATCCCCCAGTTTTATATGCATTTATATTTTGTATAATACTACCTATTAATAATACGTATTATAATTTGTAAAACTGAATTCCTAGGTACTTTTAAATTAATTTATTGGCTAGACAAAAAAAAAAGAATGTAGACATTTTTTGGCTTCATTAAAGCACTAGAAACTAAAAAGTTAATACATTTTCCAAAATAATAAGTTTCAATGATTATATTTTAATTATCATACAATATAAGAAAATAAGTATCAATAAGTATGTAAAACCATTGAGTTTGGGTAAAAGTATATAATTGTACAGTGATTCACCAAGCATGCTCATTGCTCGCCACCCTTTTTCCTTGAATATGTCTTTAACTATATTTAAAAATATGCTAAAAATCTAAATTATTGAAATTCATTATAAAAGGGGAACATAAGGGTAGGTATTTCTAATGAATCACACTGTAATTAAATCAATATTTGATTGCAGCCAATATTTATAAAATAAGTCAATTTAAACCTACTACATTACAAGTGGTATTATCACATAATTTTCTTAAATATTCTATTCCCTTTCTATAATTTATAAGCTTTAATCCAAATTTATATTTAATTATTTTCTACATATATAATATGACGTTATCTATTCATAATTATATTATATAATATTATGCTGTTTAGGTGTATTATAGGTACTTATAGAATTACTAATTACTAATTTTAAAAAATGAATACCGGAGTAATGAAACTCAAGCTTAATTCAATTTTCCCAGGAACAACAAATATTTTGGTAGTTGGCATTATTATTGCTAAACAATATCCTAAAGTAATAGTATCAAAACAAGGTAAAGTAATAATATTTTGGAGTAAACTATTATCTGTTAACATTAAACAACAAATACAAATATAGACTTTATGTTAAATTTTAATAAAATATAATCTATGCATATTATATTTATATAAATATATATATAATTATTAATTTATTTAATTTCAAGTTTCAAATCATATTTGAATATATACTAATATACTTATCCAAGACTTAACCAATACGCATAGTGGAACAATTTTTTTTGATTCAAAATAATGAAATATTAGTTTTACAATTTATTATTGAAACTATTAACAATAATTTTATATAAAAATTGATTATAAATACCTTTGTGGTATTAATTATTATACAATATAAAAAAACTAAAAATATGAATACTTACCTAATTATATATTTTTTAACAGATAATAAAGAAAAATCTGTATTTTCGTTTACTATACGTGACTCTCCAGATGATGTGGTTAATATAAGTGTTTGGGGTTCTAATGATTATACTAGACGTTTATATAATGATTTTAAAATCGGAGATGTTGGTAAATATATAATAATATGCAATAGATCATTTCTGTAAGTTTTTGAAATGATTTATTTATGCTTATAGTTGATTTAATTAATTCAAATGTTACTTATAACATGGATATCAAAGATAAATATATGCCGAAAAGTTCAAGGTAAATGTAATATACTTAATGACTTAAATGTTTACTTATGTTGCATACCTACCCATCTAATTTCATGTTATTCAATATCTAGTTCATTTTATTTGACATTAAATGAAATTTCATCTCAAATGTTGCTCCATGATATTCATGATTCTATGAAGTATAAATATCTTCTCAGAATTCCCACTTGTCCACGACACATGTATATTAACATTGAAGATATCCATTCTAGTGGAAAAGAGATGAGTGGGAAATTTTGTTGTTTGTTGGTTGCAGTAAGATGTGTAAGTTATCAACTTCTTAAAAATGCAAAAGTGTTATTTAACTCCTAATTTATTATTAAGGTTAAGTCTACAAAATTAATAAAAACCAAAATTGGCAAGGAAGCTTTCTTAAAAGAAATTATTGTCATGGACAAAACATACCCAACACTTTTAATAAGAATTTGGGATAAGGAACTATCAGAAAGAGCTGCACAATGGATACCGAAAAAAACAAGTAAGTACATAATTAAATATAAAATTATACAGTTAAATGAGGAACAATTTTCTTTTTATTTAATAGAAGAATTTAAGGATTTTTTTGAATAGCATTGAAGTATCTTTAACAATAAGATGAATTCAAATATATTAACTATTTTTACTAACAAGTATATTTTTTGAATTTGATCTAGTGGAAAACTTTCAAATAGGTTTTAAATATATAAAAGCATCGTTTCATTGAAATATATATATATAGATAATTTTTATTAAATTGTCTACTGACCATAATAGTATAATACCATATACTACAGTTCAATGGTATAATTTGTTTTATTCACTTTAAAAATTAAGTTTTTAAGTTCCGTGTTAAATTAATATTACCTTCCACAACTCACAAGTCCCATTAAGGTGTATCAATTAACTAAATATGCATTAAGTTTAAATTTAAAAGAAAAACATAATTGATTGGTTATATTTTTGTATTTTAGTCTTGGCTTTCTCAAATTTATACTTGGAATGGAATATTTTTAAAAGAAGCATGACAGCTGTTGTTTCCAATAAAACCATTATTACCGAGGATCCAATTACAAATGAAGCTAACGATTTAAAAAATTACGCAAATACACACTTGACTGGCCTATCTACTATTTTAAACATTAACATTCCCAATTGTAATTTATACTTATTAACTTATATTTATGATTATAGTTATAAAACTACTAAGTGTAATAATAGTTTTGAAGGAAAATTTGAATGGCTGTACATTGTGGATACTATTGTTGATTTCTTATACAATTTCCTACATAATATACAGGCATATAGTTTTTGTTTTTTAGGTATAAATAAATTAAAATTGGATTGTATTACTCTATAATAGATATTTATTACACCGTATAAGACATTTTGTTTTATTTATCTAACACCCAAAATTTAAAAATGTTATACTTAGGTTTGAGTATTTATTCTAACCAACTAATAGTGTAAATAATTGTTTATGTTTTCAGTGTTATCTATAACAGACATTATGACTTGTAAACGAGTTTTAGTCAGGTCTAATGAAATTAATAGACAGTTTACAGCTTTATTATATGCCATTGTGAGCAAATTTAATATTGATGGATTATCTCCATTGGTTCTAACTAAGTGGCAAGTAATTTTATTGCTCTACATTTTAATTGTAACAAACAATTCTTAAACATATGAAACACTTTATGCAGTAATCTATGTGGTATGAATGTGAACAGTACATACTTAATGTGTCTTAATCCAGAATGTACTTCTAATTTTGAAATGGAAATTGGATCACATGAATTAGAAACTATATTAAATATACGATTATCAATAACAGATTCAACGGGCACTCTAGAAAACTGTATATTGCATCATCAAGTAGCCACAAAAATATTAAACGAGGTAAGTAATATTGGAAAAAAGAAATAAGTTTGGTATTGACGCTCGTAAAATAAAAATTAAGAAAAAATAATGAAACGCTTTATTTAATATCTAACAGTATCTTTAAACATTTATTGATATTTCATTTAACATTAATTAAATAGTTTAAAAATTAAAATATATAAAACTTATCAATCATAGTTAGTAATTGTTAATTACATAATATTTTTTATCAGGTTAATTATTTTCAAAATATGAGCTTGAATCAAAGAACAGAATTAAAATGGAAGTATTTATTCACTAACTGTATGGTCAAATTAGTGGTGACAGAAGCCCATCCTTATGAAAAGTTAACAATTTTAGTAGTAGATATAGAAAATGAAGGGCCAATATCTAAATTTATATCGCGTATACCAATATATTAAACTTAATATACAATTTAAAACAAATCTCAAAAATTCAAATGTATTCTTGTATTTAAAAAGTATGACTTCATGATTTGTAATTAAATATTTTAAATGTAAAAAATTAATTTCACAAAGCACTATGCATGTGTAAATACTAAAATTAAGTAGATAAAGTTTAATCAACATTATAATTTATAACTATACATGGAGTTGCTTATTGCTTAATGAAAGTATATCTAAACCGTACCATCTTATTTTTAATTTTCTTAAAATATACAAGCGTACGATCACCAGATAATTTAGCAAAAGAGTGGTGATGTCTGTCTTTAAGCACAATAAAAGCGTTAATATTTTTTTTATATATACAATATACATATATATTAAAAATTAGCAACATTTGTTAGTTTACAATACTGAATACAAGCCTATAATTTATAGTATGTCAATATAAGTTTTTGGATTATATACGATTACTGATCACAGAACCAAGTCTGGGAGAAATAACTGATAAACAACAGCTGGAAAGCCTTAAATAGCCATCAAATTGTTTGGTAAAGACTATAAAAAATATATTATATTTTTATATAGACAAAACTAAAAAAGAGTTAATAATATTAAAGTTAAACAAGAAGTTAAACTTAATTTTTATTATTTGTAAGTCCTACTAAAATTGTAAGTAAAATAACTTAAAAAAAACTGATTGTATACTTGAACATATTTCTTTATTTTTCAAATCCAAGTTGTAACAGTTTAAAAAATTAAAAATTACATTTTCTGATTTTTTTATGATCATTGAAAATGAATTCCTTCTTTATTAAAGGCAAGTAGTAGTCTGAAACAAAAAAACAAAAAAAATCAAGCAGATATTACACATAAAAAATGTTCAATCGATTGATAGCTTTCAAATATGAAATTATTTTACTGGCCGAAAACAATATCCGTTCATGAAATTTTAAATGCATATAATGGTTTACTTACTCAATAAATTCATCAATGTCCATTTTTCTTGCTCTTTTGTCGCAAAAATCACTTTTATTTAAAACTTCGTCCAATTTTTGTTTGATGTCAAAGTCATCTCCTATTTCCTAATTTTAAAATAAATAATTAATGGATTTATAAAAAAACATAGCAATATAATACATTTTATTTTGAACTAAACATATTATTAATGGACTTAAAAAAAAAAAATTTACAAAAACCAAATCATAAGTTGAAAATAATATCGGTCACTTCATTTATTTAGTAGACGTTTAAAAATGGTACATAATATCATGGGTTCTATGTGCTGGCCTGCATGACAATACACCCATCTCCTTAAAATTTCTTCATTATTTTATTTATACAACACAAGCTTATATATTTTCCAACATTTGAGACCAACACCTTATTGAAATAATAAATATTAAAAGTAGAAATCATTTATTTCATCCATAAATTAAATATTTGTTTGTTATTTAATAATATTTTACAAATGGACACGAATACATGTAGTGCATGGTATATGAAATGATGGATTTATTAACTTAAGGGGATTCGATACCATCATTTTTTGTTTTTGCCAAACATACTAATTGATCTAATGAAGCGATAATAAATCTGAAAACCGATTTGAATTTTTCGTTAAGTCTACTTAAAATCAACTTTCCCACATTTTTGATATTATCCCCCAAATTCCTAAAAATGTCGTATTAAAAAAGAGCATTTAAAAATTTTTGTATTTCAATTTTTGGAGAAGTTAAAATCAAAAAATCATAAATGTGGGAAAGTCAATTTCAAGTAGACTTGACGACAAATTAAAATCTGTTTTTAGAATTCTTATCGCTTCATTAGATCAATTGATATATTTGGCAAAAAATACGTCTAAATTACTATGTCACGAGTGTGTTGGACAAAAACAGAAAATGACGGTAGCGAATCCCCTTAAAGAACATAAAAACACTAAAATCAAGTTTGCTTAGATTTAAAGTCCATACACTGTGTGTATTAATCTTAGATATATGGTGTGGATCTCATACTTCAACTCTAATTATTCAATGTTTTAAAATATGTGCGTGACAGAATTGAAATCTAAATAACGGTGTATGTATATTGGCTATACTCTGTTCAAGTTAAGAAATACTTTCATGCTGAAATGTGAGCAGGGGTGTGGTAATACTACACAACAGGTGTACAGATAATTGTCAGCGGGGAGTAGTCCGACTACCGTTGACGGAAACGGGTCACTATCGTTGAACAGAGTATAGATTAATACAACAATTTTAATACCTAACTAAAGTTAACATTTTTTTATTTTACTTAAATGTAATCTGATGTGTATTTGTGAACATGACGCTGGTGTGATTTTGATATACTTTGTAATTTGTTCTTAGTGTTTAGAACTATTAGAGTGAATTTCGTAAAATGTTGTTTATACTGACTCAACAGCAGTTAACAGTATATATATATATTGAACAATATCACATTATTGTCAAAGACACAAAAAACATAAACACCCATGAGATTAGAAAAAAAATTAATAGTAACCTAAGTTATTGAAACATTGTGTAAATCTAGCAAATTAGACATGTAAAATATAGGCTGTACACTCTCTGCTCTATGACATCACGTAGCTATTTATCAACCTTCATTATCTAGTCGAATAACCATTTTTAACCTCAGATTATACAAAACGTTTTTCATTTTATTGACTACAAAACATGGAATACAATTTTATAAATTAGTGTTATGTCCTTAATTATTTTAATAGATTGTTGGAACCAAATTATAGGAAAATATCTTAGTTTTTGAAAAAATAAAAACAGATTTCATTTGAAGTAGCACAAGTTAATATATAAATAAATGCATGAAGACACCAAATAAATGAATGTATTGTGATGGACTAGTGACCTGCAGATAGAACCCGGGACATAGCGCATCATTTTTAAACGACACTTAAGATAAAAATTAATTCAAAATAGATTTCTGAAAATTCCTCATTGAATAGTCCTTAAACAAAACATAAAAATTGTTTCTCAACTAACTTGATTTGTTAAAGAACAATAAACTCTATAATTTTTCTCTAGTGTTACTGCAACAGCATTTTGTTTAAAAATTGCACCTAACGTTTTATTTTTCCGAGAGAATGCAATTCTTGTTAAGCCATCCCATTCTTTGAAGTTAATTGGAGGTGGTGGATTACGAGGTTCTATACGCACCACGTTAGACTCTACTTTTGGAGGAGGTCTAAAATTATTTTTTCCAACCTAAAACATTTGAAGAAATGAACATTTTAGTAACAAATAAATATTTAAAAACTAAAATAAATCTATAACTTACTTTCATTATAAGATCAACTCTAGCCAATAGCTGTGTGTTGATTGATAAACGACAGTAAAGTTTGTCTCCAGGCTTGGCCACTAGACGATATGCAAATTCTCGTTGGAACATAAGTACAGCACACCGGAAAAAAGGCCTGTGCAAAAATTTAAAGTTATGAAATGTTTTAATTAAAAGTACTTAAGTACCAATCAATATACTACAATGTTATATCCTTCTTTTTACATAAGGTAAATAATATCAATAATACTTATTTAAGTACTATTTAAATAAATTAACTTTTTTGTGTAAAGTTCATAAAACAATATTTTATAATATTTTACCTGTGTAGAAGTAGCTTGAAAACCAACGGAGATGATATTTGATATGGAATATTAGCTACACAAACATTGAAAAATGGTAGTTCAGATTTAAGGACGTCTCCAACTCTTATTTGCAATTTATTTTGGTAAGGGGTATTCATAACACGCTTTTTCAACTCAGCCACTAACCTATAAATACAATAAATTATAACCAATTTCCAAGTTCCATTTAAAATATATTGATTCATTTTGATTTTCGATATAACTTTAATTAGAAAAAACATTAATACCTTAATAAATTTGATTATTTAAGAAGACATGGTACCCGCTACGTCTCTGTCTTTTTTACATTGACAATTTTTGTTCAGTAGTATCAATAGTGTGCTGTTAGTTTTAATATTTAAGTGAAGTTACCTATTTTAAAAATTTCAGGTAAGAACATTTTTTGTGTTCACTCATTCGTTTTACGATATTTTAACTTTTTAGTGAATTATGAGATTTTACAAATATTAATGCTTTGCATACTCATAGCTCACTCAATAATTAAAATATCTTAAAAAACCAATGGGATAGTACAAAAAATGTTCTTACCTAATAGGTCGATTCACTCTAGTTTCAAAACTAACATCACACTGTTGAAACTAGACAACAAAAATTGTCTATGTCATGAGTGTAAGACGGAGACAACACATGCTGGTGCAACGCCCTCTAACATCTGAATCAAAGATATTATTTCAAGTAAATTTACCTGACATCAATTTCACAAGCTACCACTGTTTTAACACGTTCCAATAACTTAACCGTTAAGTTTCCAGTTCCAGGGCCAATTTCAAGTACAGTATCTGTAGGTAATAAAGCTGACTTTTCCACCATGCCTTGAATAATGAGTGGATTTTTCAATATATGTTGTCCAAAATCTTTTTTGAACATTATACCTAAAAATAAAAATAACATTAATATTGTGCAGAGAAGTAGCTCACTAGATGCAAAATACTTTTAGTGTCAATATAAGCTAATATATATTTTATTGATACATTAGTTTAATTTTTTAAGTTATATCCAAGTAGAGCTTTGGAATAAAAGTTAATGTATTTTTGTTTATTGTAGTGCACTACCTTTTTTTACTAATTCATCACTGGTCAATTTTAAAATGTTAGTTGTAATTTTCAGCATTAAATGTAATTGTTTTACGATACACTCAAAATATTAATATAAGTATTTACGATACAATAAACAATTCATGCATTATACATAGCAAAAATCAATCCAAATTGGTCAGACTAATCTACTAATCAGAAAAAAAATTGTGGAATATCTACATAATACACACTAACTACATATTAAAGTAAACAGTAATAAGTAATAACTATTAACTATTAACTAATAGTACTAACTAGTATTTTAAAGTAAAAGTAAATAATTATAATATATTGTCTATTGCTTAAACAAAGTTATCTAAAAAGATTACTTTACTATCTTGTGTCATAGTTTTGTTGATTTGATCAAATAAATCGATATTTTTTTCAAATTCTATTTATTAGACTTAGACATAATATTTATTTTTTCTTATAATATTTGGTTTGGAAATAGGAATACTGAAAAGTCGTAAGCATGAGTTGCTGAATATACCCATTATTATGTATCACTGATAACAAAATTAATAATAATATCATTAGTGATCAAAATAAATGTATTAGATGCATATTATTATAGTTCTTTCGTAAATGTACTCACGTTGGCACTAGTAAGTACTAAAGTGCAACAGACGACAGTTTCTCAGAATATGTACTTAATATTTTCTATATTAGGTAAAATCTTAGACATTAATTTAACAGAGAAGATATTTCTATACTTATTATTTATTTGAAAAATCCAGATTGCAAACTAACCCCCCCTCCTAGTGTCATTGGTATTGTGTATTTTATTAATATGAAATCCAGTATTCTTACGCTTTTTGCCACAGTTTAAAACCAAAACATATTGAACTACATGCCTAATTCTCATAAACAGTACTTAATGAATAACAAAAATTAAAAACACACGTGCTAGCGTTAACAATTTTAGGATAGTTTATCTCTAAGAATTAGCAGCTCTCAGAGCTTATCATGAGTGACCACTTATTCACTCCAGACCTATGTGACAAAAAACCATAACATAATGAAAATCAATAGTAAAAATTCATTATCAACTGAAACAATGAATTATTCACTGAACTTTTCTAGTCAATAAAAAGAGCCTAAAGTTGGGTAAATGTCATCGAGACTAAAAGTACTATTATAGTAACAGTTGTGAATAATCGGAAAACTTTACTTAGGTAGGTTCAAATGAATTACAAAATACCATTTTGAAACAAAAAAGAGGCAGGATAATGGAGTAAAAATGTCTTTACATATTTTAAAATATTACCTTGTTTGCCATAGTCACTAGGACCTTTTTCCTTTTTCACTTTGGGCATATTGAACAGATAATGCTATTTTGTTTATATTAATATACTTCAACTTTAAGTATTCAAAAACATTAGGTACCTAGCCGTAAAAAAAAATAATACATGAACATTAAACACTTCTAACAATTCACATGTGCTGTTGTTCAGCACTAATGATAAGACTTTTAATCAAGTCGTCGCCTTATCATTATTGTTACCAGTCATGAAGGTAAGTATGCCTGGTTTCTGGTATTCTGGATCATATGAAATTTACGTCTTGTTGCTTTCGGAAAATTGATAAGTGATAACATGTCAATTGATTTTTCGATAAGTACGTACTAAAAGTATTTTTATTTGATTTTTATGCAAGTAAAATTAAATAAATTAGTACTATTTAGTGGGTACTTACTACCTACACATATTTATCTCGTATTTACTTATGTCTTAGTCAAGTATGGACCTTTCCACATGGGGCATTAGGCGGTATTTAAAGTTGAAACGCAATGATGTATTGTATTTAAAAAATTGTATGTAGAGCATTTTGTTTTAAATATCTATGTTATGTTTTTATTTTATTGAATAATATTTGCACTAATTCAGTTACGTTCACAGCCAGATAGGAAAAGTATCAGCCCATTGAGTCTTTAACCATAAGGTTATCATAAGGTACATCCCATTTTTCAATAAAACATAATATTTATTATTTTTTATCATTCATATTTCATTATTCAGAATTTGAGATATTTAAATATTTTTGGCCATATTTTACTAAGCCAGCCCAAATTTTAACTTGGTAACTCACTTGGTCTGGTTGTGTGTAGTAATAACTTATGTTTATAATACCTATTGCCTATTGGCCATATACTGTAAATCACCAGTTAGTAAGGTGTTGGCTGACAGAGTTATAGGATTTCTAACGTTTGATAACAGTTAGCATTAGAACTACTGTGTGGCTTTATAAATACATTCAATTATATTTTCTACTTATGTTTATAGTCATTCTTCATTATCAACCTTCAGTAAAATCATTTTGTGATTCCACAAAATGCAAACTTACTCTTAATATGTTTGATTGGAAAATTAGTTTTTTTTCAGTGACATTTTTGATAACTGATGTCTTAAATATTGTTAAAAACTGATATTATGACAGTTTTATAACTAATTATTAGCTATGAATTTTACCATTTATGATTTACATTGCATAATATACCTTCATTAAATATTAACATTTTAATTGACTATTTGTATTTTCTATTATATAAAGATCAATCATCAAATAAATTGGCTAACTCCTATGAATATATATTTTTTTTAAAATGTTAATGTATGTATGAAAATTAAATCAAACAAAATATTATCTTTACAGCTTAAACCACCCTTAAATAATCTCTGTCCACAATTTGATGCAACATTATCATTTCATAGTTATTGTAATATTTAGATTACAAGAGTTTTATAATTAATGATTCAGCCCGCATTGTCTGTCAATATTTTTAAGTTACTTTAATACTTATCTTGCATACATTTTTATCTTAAACTATTCTGTTTACGCACCACTAAAAATAAAGAAAAGTTTATAACATTTTTATTAAATGCTTCTAATTTTTTTGTCTATTGAACCTAATAAGTTTGTTATAGACACGTTTTTCAATCACAGTTTAAAAATTTAAAAATGATTAAAAGCATGCAGCCAGTATATTTTATTATTTTAATAACTTACTTAAATATCATATGCTACGATAATCTTCAATAAGTTTTTAAATTAGATATTTCTTCTTGCTATAAATAAATTTAAATGGAAAAGGAAATTTAAATAAAAAACAAGTCAAAGTACACATTCTGTTAATTTTATTAACACTTAAAAAATTCAGTTGCGGCAAAATTGTAAAATTCTTAAAAAATTAGTAAATAAATAAATAAATAACTCAAAACAAATATTTTCAAAATAAGTTGCATAATATTATGAACACGTTAATACCAAAAAAAAAAAATAATAATATTTATGTATAATCAGATCAAAAAGCGATTCATTGACTATATATTAAAACATAAACCATTCTAAAAATGTAAATAAAATCCAACATTCAATAAATTAAGTTAAAATTTTAAATTAAAAAGTAGTGCTATTAACAATCAAGCAATATATTATATAAATACATAATAATAACATTTTCTCTCAATAAATAAGTATTTTACTCTCAATAAATAAGCATTTTTTCTCAATAAATAAGCATTTTTCTCTCAATAGACAAAGATTTTTTTTTTATCAATCAACAATAATTTTTTTCTACTAATAATAAATAAGTTGTTCCACACTTTTTTTGTATTTTGTATTTTCTTATTTTTTTGTATTTTTCTTATTATATTATTTTTTTTTTTTTTTTTAATATAATACAATTGTAAAAGTTCCCAATCAAATAATTTATGCACAATTTAATACAAAATAAAAATTATCAAAAATCAAATAGTATACCTTTAGGTTCTTCAATAGACCCAGTACATAGACTTCTTGACAAGAAGCTATTTAAACGAGTAATAGGTCCTCCATTACCTTCAGGTGTAACCAATATGATTTTTTTTAAAAAGTGTGAATTAATATGTTGTAATAATTTAATGAACTGACTTCCATATCCTTGATGCATTGCAAAACCAACAATTTTTAGAAATTCAACTAATATAGTGGCTGTGATGTCTGCAACTGGGTTTTGATTTAATGTTCCGGCCACAAAAATCCATGCATGACTTAGACCAATTACAGGTTGGTCACATTTCGATGAGGTAACTATTAGAGATGCATAAAGTCGAATAATGCCTGTCATCCGCTGTAGATACTTGGCATCAGATTCAACATTTCCTAAAGAATCAAACTTGTAACCAAATGATTCATGGTCTAGCTGCTCACAATGTAAATGTTTTGCTATAGGGTAATAAAATGGAACTAGCAAAGGACATTTTTGTTTCATTTCGGCAAAAAGAATTTTACCGAATTGCTGATGAACATTCCAAAGCTTAGTTACAATTGTTGCAATTTCATAAGCAGCTTGAGTCTTTACACATATTACTTCCTCTGCATAGTTTACTATTTTTGTAGCTAAAGTTGCCATACAAAATGCCAATGCTTCTTTATTCTCACCAATCATAACTCGTGTGTTTGCGACACAGACAAGTTTTCCGCTCAACAATGCGTTTAGCTTATTATATTTATCAGTTAAATGTGTGACATTTGTAGTTGATATAGTATTAACTAGTGTGTTAATTACTTTAATTACATTTTGTCTAAATACTTTTGTGTTTGGATCATTTACAAATGGTAATTCTCTTACATTAGTTAAGTTGTTAATTAATACTTTATTATTTTTCACTAAAGCAACATATTGTCGTCTGACATTTTTTACCAAGTGATCAACAGGCTTATTAACAGAAAATATATGCAACATATTCTTTTTTTTATCCATTTCTATTTCTGCTTGAATTGGCATAACTACATTATTTTTATATAATGTTAGGTCCTTTAACAAGCTTTTTGCGGCAATTAATGGGGCTTCTTCGACAACTTTAATATTCTTTAAGACATCTAATCTTGACTCCATTGAATGATAATCCTCGATTTGTTTGCCAATTTTTAATACTAATTTTTGATTGTTGAAGTAACTGTTCAAAATATTTCCAATTAAAACCGCTTTTGTCAAGACGGCTTTAAAGCAAATTTCTCTACTACGTTGTTGGTGATCAATGTTTATTGCCTGTTCATCTGTGATGTGTGTGCGTTTTTTAATTTGATCGAAAATCATTTTGTAATTTTCTTTTTTAACCAAAATTTCATCACGTTGAAATTTTGATTTGAACGAAATGTCAAATTTTCTATTTCGTGTCATTTCATCTTTTTTCTGTTGCCACAACTCCATTTTTTCTCTCATTGTTTGTTGAATAGTCATCTTACGCATAAAATCCAAACGCATACATGAAACGGATCGCATCTCATTCAGCCATGTATTTTCAGTTTTTTCCCTTCTAACAAAAGTTGAAGGCGAATAATGACTGACTGGTTCTATGACGTTTTCCCTTAAATAATGGCTGTTGACTGCTACAAACTGTTCTCTTATTGATTTCAAACGACTTCTGAACAGCGATATTGTACTAGTTTTGTTATTGTAATTAAAATTATGGCAGACATTTTTTTGAATATGAACAGCGTGATTGTCCATGTTAAAATTAAAGAATGGTGATGCATTTGGAGCCATTGCAGCATAGGTAACGAATGTGTACGGATTAAAAAAAAAAAAAATTTACTCAATAGTGGTGTATAGTACTCACGTGGTTTTTTGACGTAAAATCCAAACGTAAAATTTTGAACATACAATATTATTAAAACGCACACCGTTCACACTCCTGGCGTGTTTGGTATTAACTGAAAACATTAATCTAAAGTACCTAACTATACACGCCACACTGTAACGAGCTATGTACATTATCTGTCTCGTACCCCCATAAATTACACTTTTATAAAACCCGTTGTACCTTGTGTAGCTGTATGCCTGTATGACTATATTATATCTGCTTTAATTGAACAACGATAAACATTATTACGATAGTGAAATACCTACCAATTTCCCAATGATAATACAAAAATGTAACTTTATTAATATCGACCGACGATCGTGAGTCGCGATTAATACTACTACAAGACGTCTTCAAAGTGTGCGTTATTCGTGAATGACTAAAATGAAAAAAATACATTTTTAAAAGTTCTTTGCTTGGCAAATATACGCTTTTGCGGCTTTGGTTACAGCCATTGCCGAACGAATTATACAAATTAATAATTATTTTTATAATATATAGTATAAGAGTATCTGTAGGATCGATAATAATATTATAATGCATTTTTTGTTGTAGATAAACGGTATTCCTACCTACCATATTTACCCGAGTCCAGATGCAAACGTCATTATTTCGTAAAAAAACATAATCATATTTTAATATTTTATAGTTCTCATGCGACAGTGCGGTAGACGGTAGTGTATATACGTCATATTGTGTTTAATGGTGTGATTCCTAAAGCTGCCCACACACTATATTATACTATTTTGTATTTTTGTTTGTTCGTGAACAATGTTCGCCTCGGTTTAATTCGAAGTTAAAATTATGTATACAGATAGTGTGTGGAGTTTAAAGTGAAAATTTTAAAGAGAAAAAAATCCGGATTATAATGTTACTTACAATCATATGAAAATGATTGAACAATTAATATTTTTTAAACAACAATAATTACCACATTATTAGTATGCAATTACAAATAATATGCCCTTAAAACTTATAGTATAAATGTACTTTGAATATTTAATATCATTTATCAGTAATTTAAGTATTAAGTATAATACATTAATACTAATCATTAAAACAATTAATATATATTTTATTATAAATAATGTTCAAACAATTACATTTAACAATCATTTTTTGTTTTATACAACTATATTATTAACATTTACAATTAAATCCCCGAAATAAAATATTATGTTTCCTATAACATTTTCCTGATTTTTTTTTTATTCAAAAGCCACAATATTAGGAAACAGTTGGTTAGGTAACTACATTCATCAACTATTGTTTTTTATATTTGTTTAATTATTGTTATTATTTGTACCTATTATTCGATTATTCGAAATATTTGGGTAATATTGCATATTTTTAGCTGCGACTATACCTACATAATGTACGTTCAAACTATTGTTTGATAATTATTTTTGTTTTCTATTTTATACGATCTTTTAAATAATATTGTGTCTATAAACTATAAAGTGAAACTTGTAAAAATGTCTCCTAATAATTATATCAAATATTAGATAAAATATATTATAGGAAACGTTATATCTGATTTCGGGAATTTAATTTTTGCAGAATTATTCATAGTATAAAACAAATTTTACAAATTATTATAAAAAATTTTTGTTCTATCATTTTCATATGGTTGTGACTTGTGAGTATTATTGTAGTCTTCAGATTTTTTTTCCTATGGTCGGGATTTTTATTCCGATTACCGTTTAAAGTATAGATACCTGCACCATACACACAAACGGAATAAAAACTGATAAATTGTACCATGTTTATTGGTGTTCAAAATAAGTATAAGTAAGAAAAAATGCGTGTTCGAACTCTACGGTAATAATACATAATATTTAAATATTATTCATTGACATATTATAATTATGGCTAACTATTAAAAAAAGTTCATTACATTTAATTAATAATAAAAAAAGCGAGTACTAAGCAGATGTCGCTCATCTGTACGCAGTAGGTTACAAGTGGGTCATTGTAATGAATGGTGTTAAATTTGAATAATATTCTGATATAAAATCATTGTAAACGAAAAACGATTCTGAGCGAAGACGGTCTGTACCTACAAATAATATTTTTTAATTACAACAAAATAGCTTAAATCCTTATTCTTGGTTATTTAATATGTTATTTCGTCCAAATATAAACATAAAACAACTTTAAAAAAAAACTGTGCTTATACATTTTTTTTATTTTTTGGTACAGAAGAACCTACTTACGTGGAACCTTATATAAATATTCAATCCTTAGCAATAAAATTTGAACTCTTTATACATTTTTAACTATAAAATAATTTAAATTTTATAAAAATTTGAATTTTAAATTACTATGTATTTTAAATCTACTGAGAATAATGATTTTACAATGATTTGGTTTTTTAATTAATTTTTTTTGTGTCTGTCATCATGGTTTCTTGCAGTAAAAGTGCTTCGACTTTCTTCAACAACAACTTTTTTGGTAGGAAAGTGAATCTAGTTGGTGCATTCGGGAGGTAAGATTCAAAATTCCCAATAGTTTTCAAAAGCAACAGGAAAAACACACAAAAAAATAAGGGAAACACGAGCATTTTTACGTAAAACCATTTTTCTAAAAAAATCAATATTTGTTTTTAGCGTAACCTTTTACAAAAATGACCACAGGTACCTACATGAAATTTTTATCACTAAATATTTGTGTAAGTATTAGCTGTACACCATACAATTTTTAAAATATTTTGATTTGTGTTAAACTATTAAGGCATATGACATTTTCGATTATTATTTATTTTTTTTAAACCCAAGTAGATAAAAAAATGTTCGCTTCTTCAAAAAAATTGAAAATGTAATACAAGGTTTATGGTTTTTAATGGAAATCAAAAAAAAAGTTCACAATAATTTTTTATGAGCATTTAAACATAAAATTTTGACAAAATTTGTAAAAATCATGAAAATAAGCAAATTATATTTAGTTAGAAATTCATAAATAAATGTTCTACTTATATCTAAGATTTGAAAATTTAATACAAGATTCCTTACAGGTTTGTCTACCTTTATAAATAAAAAAAATATAAAAAATAATTATAATAATCTAATTATGTTATGCCTATTAATAACTTAACACTATTCAAAATATTTCGAAAATTGTTTATGTATAGCAAATGGTAATATATGCATTCAGTAAAAGTTTCATGTATCTACGCCGTATCGATTCTACGGTAATTTGTTTTAAAGTACACCAAGAATCTAAGTCTATATTGTCAAAAAAAAATTTTGCTTGAAAATGCCCGTGTTTTCTGAATTGTTGTTTGTTTTGCCTGCGCTTTTGAAAACTTTAGGGAATTTTAATTTTGACCTTCCAAATGCACCAACCAGATTCAATTTCCTAGTTGAAGAACGAATCATTATTTCGACTACTTATTGTGTACACGGCCAAAAATAACAACACCCACACCATGGTAAAATAAAATCAATACATTTCATGACTCATGACTAGGGTTCGGGACTTGTTGCATTTGCATATTGTTTAATAATGACTGCAGAATAGTCTAAGTAAGTTATATAAAATTGTTTTAAGCCATAATGGACTGACATACAAAAATTGTAATTGCATATTTTTGCATATTTCACCGTTTTCTGAGCAAAACCTATACTTCACAAATTTTGGCAATTTATATGTTATTCATACCATATTTACCCAATGTTCGTGTTATGTTAAGTCAATTTATTTTAAAGGTTAACACTAATATTTTTTTACTTTCATGTTTCGGTCAATATGCGTTATCATAGAACTAATCAGGGCAGGCCAACTACGGAAATACCTAATTGTTCCTGCATCTACTATCGGTTATCGTTAATAGTGTTATTAAATTACGAATTAAAAAACATTGTCTACATTTAAATGAATAATTCAAATTTTTAATTGGGATTAAAAAAATATTCTGTAACATATTTTTTAGTATATTTCGGTTATTTTAAGTGCATATGTGCATGCAAATTTCCTATACAATTTGTGTGCAATAAGTTCCGAACCCTACGTCATGACTTTAATCACTCCCGGCCCTTCCCCTGGAATCTAAAAAAAAAAGAATTTAATTTTAAAGCTAGGCAGTAGATTGTATCTATCATCCACTCATAATATGAATACTATAAATACATTGCGTAACAAGCACTAATAGCAGTATGTAGGAAAAAAGTTTAAATACCAATACAATTTTAAATCTAACAACATTTCAAGGAAATGGAAATGGGGTAAACAATTTTCGCTCCATGGAACTTATAAAATTAATGAAAATATTATTTATGATATTTTTAAAATACGTTGGGAATTGTATCTAGTTTCATAAGATATATATATATAGTAGCTATACGTTCATTATACATAAATATGTACAGACGAGCAGACTTATAGTCATACAATAATTTATACATAGTTGTAAGTTTGTAACTTATAAAACATAATTTAATATTAATCTGCATTTAGTAAATAGGTAGTTGTATAGTTTTTGGGAGGTGATATAGTCTACAGAATGATAATGTTTTTTCGCTGCGTGACTAAATACGAGTAAGTTTCTGTATTTCTGTAGAATTGCAGCGGCAACAGATTCTAAGTGAAATGAAAAGTAATAAATGAATAGGTATATTGGCAATTTATACAAATAGGTAGGTATACAATTAAGTATCATAATAATAAATTAATATTATAATAATTTTGTTATTAACTTATAAGTCAATACTGACATAACACTTTATATATATATTATATATCATATTCATATATTATGATTATGAACTATGGTGCATATACTTGCAACTTCAGCGTTTTAAAAATAACTTTTAATTAAACTAAATAATTATATTATCTACATAATGGCACAAAGTTTCCAATCTATATATGTGGTTCACTACAATATAACTAAAAAAGTTTTTTTTCGTTTAAATATCCAATTTTGTCAAGATTAATCGAACTTCGAAGGTCTATAAATACAAATATTTATTATACTGCTGTATGAATAACTACCGATTAGCAATCTTGTATTAAATTGTCAAACCTAAGATATAAAAATTGAAAATTGTATGAAATTCAACAAGAAAATAATTTGCAATTTTTCGTGATTTTTATGTATACCTACATTCATATATTTGTCAAAATTTAAACTTCAAACGCTTAAACAAAATAAATTTAACCATATAGATATTTTAAAAATTCTTAAGTTTCTGTTTTAACATATTTTAAGGAACCTTGTATTACATTTTCAAACTTATTGACCA